ACTGAAACAGAGGAGGGAGAAAACTGTTTAAAAGAGATATATGACCAGGTATTTCTGTCATCACAGGAGTCTAGAGCGAGGGCTACATGGTGGAGGGGACCCATTAGCATTTTAAAGAGGGATTTGACATCAAATTTTCCTAGGAGCATATCTTTTATTTCTTCACTTCAGCCAGAAAGATGATTGTGGATCATCTTAATATTGGATCCAAATAAAATGAAAACAACTTCAGTCTTTTCTCTGTCATGATATTGTCTGTTGATCCAGGGGTGAAGATTTTTTTTTCTTAATGTTGAGATATATAATCTTAATATAATTTTAATGTTCTTAATCTGTATTATAATATCAAATATGTACTCATTTTAATATATTTTAAAAAATAAGAATGAAATCTTAAATCTTAGCCACAAATAATGTACTATAGTTATGCTTCTTTTCCAAACCCTATTGAAATAAATAGATTTTCCATTAATTGTAAATGTCACAGGGAAAAAATATTATGCAAAATTTCATCCAGAATTTATGCACTAATTTCTTCCATCAGAGAGTCCTTTTATAATTATAAAAATGTTATCGCATACTTAAAAATCATCACTATTCACTGGCTGTATTGTTACATCATTACCAGTTAATTTTTATGATCTGTCACATTGTAATATATTAGCAAAGTGTAAATTTTGGAAATCATTTCACTTGGCTGGAAGCATTTAATTATGTCATATACACTATATTATACATTGGCTATGTTTTAATTTTTTGTTTATTCTTTGTTCTCTGCATTTTTCTGAAAATTATTTTAGATGGCTTATTTTAATTATAATTATGTTGGCTTCCTTTCCCAGAAATGTTCCAGATTTTTTTCTCCCTCCCTCATTCAAAAGAGCAGCATGCATGCTGAAAATGGAAGTTGCTTTGTTCTTATTCTTACGGCTCATTTCAAATTACGTGTTTTGCAGAGGTTAACATTATGTGGGCTGGACACCAAACTCACCACAGTTCTGAAGACTATAACTTATCCACAGCATTGAGACAATCTGTCTTGCAGATATATACTTCCTGGGTAAGTTGGATGAAGTAGAATTATGTGCTTATGTAATTTTAAAAGTCTAAATGTTTTCTATTTCCACCAATAAATTCATGAAAGATGTTGTACTAAAGAGATTCTTTCTCATCTGTGTACCATAGACACATGAAGTAAGCAGTACTTTTTCATGTGGCCTTTCACTGTCTAGAAGGGTTCACCTTAAAGTATACATCAAGTGAAAAAGTGTGTACTGTCCAATCAGGGTGCTTCCTAGATAATTTACCTCAATTAAGTTATGTACAAAGACTCAAACAGCTCTTAAAAAAATAATTCCTCTTTCTGCATGTCCAAATAAAAGCTACAAGAATCATTTAGTGTTTCTTATATGAGAGCAATGAGAATGGTACTCAACAAAAGTAAGGCTCAAAAGTATTGTAAATGACAAGAATTATGGATATTAGAAGAACTGCTACTTCTAAGATTCTTCTTGATGCATGGTTTTACCTTGATTCATGTGGTAGTATCCCCCATTTGTGATCAATTTTATTAGCTTTTACTGTTAATTCAAAATACCTGCTGTTGGAATAGATGCTGAACTCTGAGCTAGAAAGTCAGGGGTAAGATTTCAAAGGATAGTTGTTCAAAAAGCTATCTACTGCCTATATATTACACTTATATTATTATTACCTATATATTACAAACTTGGTAATACATAGGCAATAGATCATGCACTTAATATGCCCATGAAATATAATAGATCATGATCTTAGGCTAGTCATGGAACTTAGAATGATTTCCATGGTCTGCAAACAAATTTTATAACACGATGGTTTTTGTTATATTGTTGTTAGATACTGTAAAGTATTAATCATAACAACCCTCTGAATAACAGATTTGAATCCTGTGCTATCTATCCTGTGCCAGCCTTATTATCTCAGTTACACTTAAGCCATCGCTGTAGTCACTATGCCAGTCCATCTCTTTAGGGAGCTTCCTCTTCTTTGCTGACCCACCTCCTTCCTAAGCATTATGTCCCTTTCCATTGTGCAACCAGTGCAAAGGTATGCATTTCAAATCTCTTTGCTGCTCTGCAGGAGATAGATGGGCAATCTTCTCCTGAGTGATTTACTGCCTCTGAAAACCGACTGGAGGGTCAGCTACAGGTCAACTCTGACTCGATTGTACACAAGAACAACACTTAATGATAAATGATGTTAATTCTTTTTAATATATTAATTCATTTGGTCTTTATAACTTTAAGAACCAAGTATTAGTGTAACTATCCATGCAGTCTAGTTTCAGAGTCCTTGATCTTATTCTTGATAATCACATCCAAATCTTTATTGTCTCTTTATTGTTTCTTACGTATGTATGTTGTTATCATGAGTCTCAAGAGGCTGTTAAACTCACAGGATGAGATTGTCCAATTTTCTCTACTGGAGCAATTGATAGATTCAAGCTGTGTGCCTTTGGGTTGGCAACACACCTCATTAATCCTCACAAATAAATCCAAGTGATTCTAAATTATGTATCATTTTTATCAGAGAACTGAAAATCAAAGAGTGAATTACACAGCAAATAAGAAGCAATATAGTAGACTTAAATCCAGTTGCCTCAGCACAGTGGACACATGCATTGACATATATGTTCAAAAAGCAGCAGCAGAATAGTTTTGTCTTCAAGATGGTGCATAAGCTTGAATGAATTTGCTGGCTTGAAAACATACAAGCTTTTCAATTATTCATATATATTTTATTATATAAAATGAATTACCATACTACTCATAATATAATTTCCCTTTTCCCATCTTCTTCCTATAACTTTGATTTCCATTACCCTTTCTGCATTCAAGGCTTTATTCCTTTTTTTTATTATTGGTTTGCTTACAAAGTTTATATACATTGTGTTTCACATTATTCTTCCTTCACATTGTGTTTCATATAATCATTCCCATGCATTATGTTTTTATGTAATTAATCACCTTTGGACCTTGTCCATCATTACCCAATCTTTTCACCTGGAACCTTCCCATTTCCTACCCCCCTCCCTCCACCCACTAAACTGTGTAACCATGTGGATTCATCCCTATCCTTCCTGAGCCCTCCTCTTCCTGGAGTTTCCATACATGTCTAAATAGTTATCCTCCTATTTTTACAATAATGGCCTTATGCAGTATTTGCCCTCATGAGCCTATGTTAGGTCACTCAGCATAATGCTCTCCAGCCTCTTCCATAGTATTATGTAGTATTTTTTGATATTGTTGCTCCTGAGTGCTGCACAGTGTTCCACTGTGTGAGTGTACCACAATTACCCAATTATTTTGGTTGTGTTTGGACATGTGGGCTATTTCCATGTTCTTATGATTTTGAATAATGCTGCTATGAATATTGGTATACAAAAAGACATAGAAAGGCTTTTCACAGAAGGATATATTCAAGTGACCAAGAGACAAATGAAGAAATGCTCAAAAATCACTGGCAGTAAGAGAGAGGCAAATCAAACCATAGTGGAATACCATCTCATCCCAGTAACAGTGGCAAAGAGGGTAGTAGGGCAGCTAGGAATACATGTTGGAGAGGACATGGAGAGGTGGGAACTCTCATACACTGTTGGTGTGACTGTAAAATGATGTAACCACTCTGAAAGTTTGGTGTTTCCTCAAAAAGTTTAACCTAGAAACTCCTTATGACTCTATTCCACTACTAAGAATATACCCCAAGCAAATTAGAATTGAGATTCAAAGCTTTATCCTTGGGTAGATGCTAGTCTTTTTTACTCTATACATTTTGCTATTTTAAGATATGAATGGCAATAGTGTAACTATTCATCCTATAAACCTATATATTATTTGAATGATTGTTGAACCATGAGAGTAAATTTTGTCCCAGATTTGAAGAGTGTCTAAGGCCTTTCATTTCAGGGGTTCCACAGTCACTATTGCACTGAGCCTGGCCCTTTTTTTTAAAGTTTTCAATTTTATCTCACATTTTGCTCTACTCAGTCCAGCATGTTTGCTTTACCATAATTTATAGCTTGTGTTCAAATTCTAATGATCACAAAGGAGAAAAAATATATTTCTTACACAGTTTTGTAGTTTAAATCTGAACTAATAGTAGGATAAGGACAGATCCTGTAATGGAAAGGATGGATACTACTTATCTATCTCCTTAAGAAATGACTGCACTATACATTTTTTTATTGTCTTCAAATTGTACTGTACAACTGACTGATTAAAATACTAATCTTAGTAAATTTCACTATCTCTTGATATATTTCTCTTAACATCCTATAACTTGGACCTCCAGCAGTTACCTTTTGTCTAAGAAAGCCCACAGTAAAGAACATAACTGTATTTAAATTTGGGAAATCACCACAATTAGTAAATGATGCAGCTGATGATACATGAGACATTTTTATTAGTGCATCATAGATTGTATAAGGAATGAATCTTTGAGATAACATATTTAAATTAGCTATTTAAAAGGCTAAAGAAAAAAATAGTAAGAGAGTGATTCACTACATCATACAGGAGCAAACATTAATGATTTGGTGCTTGAATGTAGACTCTTGCCTCCTAATACAGGCTTCATCCTGTTTTCATTTGAGTCATTCATGTTTTAAATCAGTCTATCAAAAAGTACAGACTAGTGAAATACATGCTTACCTCGTCTTCTTCTTGTTGTGGTTGTGTACTATCAAAATGATCCATAGCCGATTCACCAGCAGATTTTCAGAAGCAGTACATCACATGAGAAGAGATTGCCCACTCTCTTCCCACAGAGCAGCTAGTTGACTCTAACCTTTGCTCTGGCAGTGAAATTTCTCACCACTCCTACTCCTATCCTAGTGCCATAATAATTTCTCTTTGCAAACCCTGTACTTCTTTCTCAGGGACATACACTTCACATGCATTTTGAGGGGAGAGAAGGCCCCCCCAAAAAGTCAACAAAAATAAATGTACCATAAAAAAAGAGCAGTGTGAATACACTACAGCTTGATTTTGTGTGTGTGTTATTGGGAGGAAGGAAAGAAGGGAAAATGACACATGGTTTTCAAGGTGGGAAGAGAAATAATTGTGCGTCATCTGGATTTCTGATTAGTATATCTGAGTTCCTTTAGAGGAAAAAATAGTTGGTTTAAGGTTTGGCAATGGTGATTCTTTGCAGACATTAAAATTAAAGAGGAGATGAAAACTATAGTTTTTCTAAGATTTCCTTCATTAGTATTCTTACATAAGGCACATAAATGATAAATTAAGGCACAATATTTCTTTTCCAGTTGGTAAGGCAACAATGTCTTTTAGAACAAATGACAAATTTCTATACTTCCTCTGGAGAGAAAATGGATTTATGAAATGAAAAACAAAATTAAACTCTGAGTAATTTTATTTGAAATTGTTATGGAAAATTAGCACGGCAGATAAGCCATTTATAAAGTAGTGATAATAATTTCATTTTGCAGAATCTCTAACTATATGTATATTCTGCAGCCAATCTTAAAACTGTATTTGAAGATGGCCTATCCAAAAGTAGCTGAAATTTGTGGGATACCATTTTCAACAGTACTTGTTTACTATAGATTGCAGTATATATTTTGTATATGCCACTGCAAACTTTGCTTCTACATCTTGGTCCAAATAAGGCCTTTATGGTGACAGTTTCTCCACTTAGCAAATAATAAAATACGACTGCTGTTGTTGTTAAATGCTGATGAGTTAGCCCCTGATTAATGGTTACCCCATATGTTATAGAGGACAGCCACTCCATACGGTGCTCTTGACTGTTAAGGAAAGAAATTACAGACCTTTTCTTTTGTGAAGTCACTATGTAGGCTTGGAGTGCTAACATTTTTGTGATCAACTGATTACAAATCACTTCTCACTTCTGCCACAAAGGATCCTTGAAAATGTGACTATACTTGTAGTTATTTCATAATATCTGTATCAGGATTAACACTTCAGTTTTTTCACCCTTTGCAGAATCCTTTCCTCAATATTAAATTTGTGTATTCAAAATGCAACTGTTGTTGCTAAGTGC